GTGCTACTGATTAGAATTAAGCACTATAGTGAGTGTCATTGCTGCGTTTACAGAGAGTACTCAGTCGCTGCGGCCTCCGTAATACGGTTTAAGTGGCGGGACATTTCCAGTACAACAAACACCCTACCAATGCTCTCAGGCATCAGTTGTGCGGACGACAGTGCTGATCTGCTCGCAGGACACACTTTTTTCGAGAGCTTGGACATTGATTTACTTATAGAACCTAGGTCCTCACCAACCTGGCTTCAAGCGGTCCATTTCAGCATCAGTCAGGACATTTAGTGGTCTAGGTGGCGGATCCCTCGCTTGATACTTTTGGCGGCTTGTTATGCGCAGGATGTACACCGCGACTCGAACGCATTCCCTCGGTGATGACCTCAGAATGTTCGGTCAGTCAGACTATTGTTGCCGCAGCCCGACTTTCCTTTATCCTCTTCAACACAATTTACGTAGCTGAGGCCCTGTCTAATGGTTTAGACAGGTGAGGGAATTTTTTTCCTTTTCCATGTTCCTTGAACTGCGCGGGTTCCAACCCCCGCAAGAGTAATCTTCCTACTGAGTATGGTTAAATTGCGGAAGGAATGTTTTTGTTGGAGATTACGAAGAGGAGTTCAGTTAAGTTCAGTTCAGTTTATTGAGGGAAATAGGCGTGAGCCTTTGAGTGCGCTATTTACAATGGAAAACTGGGTGCAGTGTACAGATAAATTATCTGGGCTGAAAACGAGCCCATAATGGTAGGACAAAATGGGAGTGAGTTTCAGGGGGTGAGCTCGATCTTTCATCACTCTTGGTCATTTCGGAACACAAATATGTCAAGGTTCTTTTTAAAACTTTGTATCGATGGTGGCATCACAACATCTGCAGGGAGGAGAAGAGAAGGAGAGAGAAGGAGAACTTCCGCTCATCCAGCCTTGCCTGCTGAGTGCGCAGTTTTAATGGGTGACCTCGGAGGTTGGTAGTGGTAGCGAATTCAAAAATGTCCTCACTGGCCAGACCGCAGTCCAGCCCCTTCACTATTCAGAATACTTGCAAAAAATCCCCTCGAAGTTACCTATAACTCAAGAGGAAGCGCTCCAGAGTTATTGGACGGGTTACACAAAGGAGCTTTGACCCCTAACCATCTTCGTGGCCCTCCCCTGAGCTCTTTCGAGGCAATTTTGATCTTGAACAGTCCACGATCTCCAGGTTTGTATGTCGTACCCCAAATGCGGCCGCACGAGTGTGCCGACAGTCTGAGAAAGCGTTGTTCATCGAAAGTTCAGTCCAACTTTTTGGTGCTTTCTTCATCTTTCCCATCCTTAACACAGTTGTACTGCCGTATGTGGACATGTAATGAACCAGGATACGATCGGCTTGTTCGTTTTGTTCAGAATTTGTTGTGGGTAACCATATAGTGGGCCTCGTCCCTTTGCAGGTCCTTTAACGTGCCATTGTGATCCGGACACGCTGAGCCGTTGGCAAGCAGCAGTCACCTCCTCACAGACGGCAGGCGCGTCTACGCAGCCCACCACCGAGATTAGCACGGTGACTTTCACAGCTGATGTCGGTTGTCTCACCTCGCAAGCGCATCCAGATCTGAGGCTGACCCAGTCCCTTTCCCTGGAGAACACCTCTGAGTCCACCCTGACACCTACGCCCAGCTGGACTGGCGGTTTGGAACTAGTTTCTGTGGGGATTCCGGTGATGCCTGAAACAGCCCTGGCCTCTGTGCTCCTGCCCACTGACGCAGCCACTTCGCCGTCGTCAGAACCAACTCAATCAGTGAACGGTTAGGCCTTGTCTGACTTTTTTTTGATCGACAGGCTCATTTTATCATCGTTCCGCCATCTTTTGCATTTACCGCTAATACCAGTTTTGGTTGGTCTTGCGTCGGAACACCATTACCGGCAAAGACAGGGGAGACTGGAATGGCCACCTCTGGCTTGCCGGCCATCATCAGCCAGTCATACACCCAACCCTCAGGTATTCAATCGCCGAAGCTCAAACTCGCTATCTGTTAGATAGAAGTATAACGCCTTAACCATTGCGCTACTGGCTCTTCGCCCTGTCGGTGCGCGATCGGGTATATTAGCAGTGTTAGGGGGAAGCGCACCAATAGCGTTACTGAGCTCACTCGTCTCGTTGTGCCTTGGGGCTCTCTCTCCCTCGAGCCTCGCAACCAGTCGGTCATCGACGTTGTTTTGTGGCCTCTTGGGCATTCCCACTTAGCGGGATCCGAGCCGCTCCCCCCTCTACCCTTATGTAAAAACCTGGTCAGTGTACGTCGTGAACAAGGAGGTGTGGTGGTACACCTAGGTGCCAGCTACCTGCACCCCCCCCCCACACCTCCAGCCTTCTTGACAGCCGATCCAGGTGGGGGAGGAAGGGGTGCGTTAGATTGGTAAGAAAAATCGATTGCAGTTCTTTTGATACAAGTATGGCTTAGGGATAGGAAAAGGAAGGGAATAACAGCCACTGGGCCCAATCTCAGCATCAGCAATCTCAATCAGCCCAATCTCAATCATCAGCACCTCAGACAATCGACTAGTGTACTGGAGAGGAGAGAGGGAGAGTTAAGTCGACGGTATCAGCGCATATTCCTCACTACAAACAATTGGTCGGTCTTGAATCTATAACCCTGCGCTGAAACCCATGACTTGGACGACTGCCAACTGACGGGATAACTCGAATCTCGCAGTTAACCCAATGAGTGTTTATGTGGAGTGGTCAACTGGTGGACTGAGCGTCAGACTGTGGCCCCTATCGCAGTCCCAGCCAGTGGGAACCGAGCTGCACCCCCATTTTCTTTTGTTAAATGAAATCCTGGTCAGTGTACGTTGTGGACCGGGGGTGAGGCGGTACGCCCATGTGTGCGTATTCGCTGTGCTAGTCACCTGCGCCCTCCCTCGCCTCCGGTATTCTTGACACCGGATTCAGGTGGGGAAGGAAAGGATGCGGTAAATGCTACGTAAGTCTACTATCACTTCGAAATAACTCGCGCCCAAGTCACCGTCCCTGCTCTCACTCTGCTGTGAGCATACAGTATATTTTTTCGGCAACGACGGCCGAAAGATCATCAGCAGTGTTCACTACCGCGACAGGCAAACGAAAAGGATTGTGATTTTTGGCCGTGGGTGACGTGTGCTGATCAGCACACCGAATGCTTCTGAATGAGCCTGAGTCAGTTGTTTCGTTTTTGATTTGCTGTCGCGCGTCGGCCTGGAAAGTCACCATTTCCTTCGGTATCAATCTCCCCGGTTTTCGCCTCTGTTTTAGGGCATGTGGGTTATAAATCGCACTGGGTGTTGACAATTATGTCTTTTTACCCATCCGGGCAGCAGATTCTTATGGGTTTTCCGGTCAAAATCTGATCAAGTTTAGCTTTTACCTGATGGGTATAAAACTATTGAAGTTGGAGTAGTACCTATTCCGCTTATTACCTCCGTCCAGAACTAAGGTGAATTCTCTTCCTTTAATAATTTTCCTACTCAGAAGTGCTTTTCTATGGCATAGGACCGGTTAAGACTGAAACGTAGGATCAGGCCGAACGTCTACAGCCGTTTCTCATTCAGGTGCCAACTCATCAGTCCCTTCTCATTTTTCCTTTTTTTACACCCTACTATATTTTTACGAATAGCGGCTCTATTACTATTAGCTTATTTCTCAAAGGACCTAAGTGGCACCCGGTCCGTCTGTGAATTACTTATAAGCCAAAAACCAACTGCAAAATTATCATCCCACGTACCTTTCGAGCAATGTAGCAGACTCATGCCCCGGTGTTTTCAAAAGATTCGTTCAAATCTGGGAGTAACCTTCGTGGTAGAACAATGAATTTCCAATTAGTATTTTTACTGTGTTTTAAGGCGCAGTATTCCGTGCGTGTACGCAAAACATTTTTCAATACGGTCACTCCTATTTGCCTGGAAACAGTCTGCCTTTTCATTGCCAATCCTCACCCGATCTACGTCGACGGAAAAACCGACATTGGCTTGCGTGTTATTCCGTGCAGCATTTATTCCTTCGGATTACTGCTTGCTCTTTGCTGAGCGAGTATGAACGCAGACTTGTTGGTAATCCTCTTCTGTCCGTACTACTAATCGCTGTTAGACTGTCTGTAGGGCTCTAGATCGAGCCCCAAAGCAGAACGGGACGAGGGTGTCCTATAACGCGATCGGTAAGCGCACTTTCAACACAGTTTGTACTCCCGACTGCTTATGACAGGGCAACGAGTCCGTTAGACATAATAAGACTGAAAAACGACGACTGACAAGCCAGAAATCGCCGTCCCTTGTCTTCGTCGGTACCACCTTATCTACTTGTACTGCTAGTTGCTACTCGACTTCGTGCGAGGACCATACATTGGGCTCCAAAGTCCAGTGGAATGGACACACCCCGTAACCTAATCGGTGAGCGCCCCCTACACATTCTATCAAAATTCCCCTATGAATGGCCAGCATTTGCCGCTTTTATCCAAAGAACGGCACTGCATTACTGAAACCTTGCAGGTAGTACGCATGTCGACCGAAAACTTCTTTTGCAGCTCCTCTGCTCTGGGCGTACGCTCGACAGAGGGCTAGCGCAAACGACATAGTAGATCATGATTCAAACAAATATGTTGAGTTTTATCGCGCGTTCCAACTTTAACCCGAACCCCACCTCCATTCTACCCTGACGCTAATCTCCTTGGCGAGGGGCGTTCCTATTTCCCCCTCCTATCGTCGTTTTCAAAGGTTTTGGATACTGGGTTAAAAATGTGCACCGAAAACTGGCGGTTATATGGAAACCTGAAACTTCTGATTGTACTACGTTAAACAGTGATGAATTTTACCCCTATACCATTTGCCTAAAACCGTGTCGCAGAAGGATATGAGATCACGACTTTGAGAGGACGCAGACGCAAACTGACCCGCGCAGTAGCAACGCTCATTTCGTGTGATAGTGTGCGTTTTTGCCTGTCGACCTCAACGTCTGATTGGCTGTTTGGTTCAGTGCTTTATTCCCATTGGTTGGCGGATTGCCCAATGAAGAACTCCGCACTTACTTACCGCGTCTCGTTGACACAAACCACCGACGAAGACACGGCATTGTTGTACCACAGCAGAGCCACCAGTAAGCTAGCTGTTTGATCTACCGTTTGTTCTAGTGCCTGAATCTGTACACGAGGCCAGTGAGACCAACCACGTCCTGACAACTACTGCTACCGCTACTTCGGTCAGTCACTCGTCCACTGTGCCGCGCCAGGCAGAACCCTCGGCCTCCACTTCCCAGGTGCAGAGAGATAACGAGCAGGCCTCGGACAGCGCCCCACAAGCCACTGCAAGCACTTCTGCCGGTGTGCCCCAAAGCTCGTCTCTGAACGAGGTCGTTCAATTTGTAAATGCCAGCATTGAGGATCTGCCTTCCTTCTTCGGACTGGTATGTTTTCAGTCAGTTTTTTGCGCCTCATGGATTTTACTTTTTCGCATTGATGTAGAAGTGTTTTGCTGTGATTTCTGTCTCCCAACGCTAACCTGTCCGACTTTGTATGCTTGGTTCAGGATTTCAGCGACGCAAAGTAAGCCTCACCTCAATAAATGCAACAGTTTATTTGATATTGGTCGGTAGTTACCCTGGTCTGAATTCTTTAGCCCATTTGTTGGGTTGTTAGGCCTCTAACTTTTAGATAGTATACTCGGATCCACAACTGTCAAGAGCGTGGTCCGCGAAGATGCGTTACGTGTTAAGGAGTATCAATGCATCAGAAGCACGTTTCTTCTACGTCTTTTTTCCACGGTTTGAAGTCACATCAAAACCTTTCTCGTACTCTATGTGTTTCGCCTACCTTGCAGACATCGGCGCAGGACCATTTTCGTGTTTCTTAGAGTCGATTTTAACTGGTATCCGATACTGTCTTCCTACCTAACCGGCGTCCAACGTGACTGCCCATCGGTCCGATCATGTTTTCTTCAGATCAGTTACTGGCTCCGTCATCCACATCTTTGTTTCCTACCTTAGCCATTCGTTGTATGGTCGCCTATTGCCGTCTTTCGCTATCAAATTGCAGAATTTTTTCCTTCTGGAATGGAGAGGGGTTGTCTGCCCTCTACCATTCTTGATTAAAGACAGGCTGCTTCTGGTTCTCAACTTCCAGGGCTAATGTGTCTAATTTGCGTCAGGATTTTGCTGGTTCGAAATAAGTCTTGCCGTTTACTTCTCGGCGATTTTTAGTTACCTTGACATTTATCCGGTGGCTCGTTTGTCAGACTCCTAGGCATCAGTACTTTGCGCTAAGATAGTATGCCCAGATCCACAGCTGCCGGGAGCGTATTCATGAGTGCAAATGCACCAGAAGCACGAGTTTTCTGTGCTTGTGTTTCATTATCGCTGATTATGACTTCAGAATCTGTTGTTTCACCGTCCTCAAAGCTGTATACGCAGACTGGTCTGTGTGGTTTCTCAGAGTAGATTAACACTGATGTCTGGTTGTGACTACCTAGCTAACTGAACTTCAAAACGTCTGATCGATAGACCATCACTCTGGTTATATTTTGTCCCAATCAATATCGTTTTCGCCATCTCCGTTTTCTAACCGGACTGCCTGTCTCTGTCTTCTGCTACCTTCGATGCGACAGTGTTGAGAGAATCCTGAACTTTACTGATCAGAACCGAGCGTTTGTCACCAGCACATGTTTTCAGTATCGCCGCAAGCATCTGCTGACCTAGTATTCCAGTGACGACCATACAGCCAGTCCGATCGACTACATTCTACTCAATTCTTGATTCCGCAACTGGGTTAACGATAGCAGATTGATGTGCGATGCCGAAATTGATGGTGCCCATGTGTCGGACCATGTTCTCGTTCGTACACGCTTAAAAGCTCACCTCTCATCCGCACCCAAGATGACGCACGCAAGACGCTGTGATGTCGCAAAACTTAGGCAGCCCAGTATTGCTTAGGCCCGAGTCCACGGAGAAGGCAGTAGTCAATGATCATCATTGAAGTTATCAGTATGTGGGACAGTTGAGAAAAGCATTGGATGCACCCAACTGCGTTGCAATGACTCGATCAACGGAGGAACTTTGCAGTTGTCTGCTCAGACAGCCCGAGTCAGGTCTCACAACGTTTATTTCTTCCGCCAACTTCGGAAAAATGTCGACAAAGTCCGCCAGGGATGCCCAAATCATATACTGTTTGCGTCATCCTTCTTTTCTACCTAGGCTATTCATTATTGGGTTGCCTATTCCTGTCTTTTGTTATCAGGTTTGTGGGATTTTTTGACCTGGGGAGCTAATCAGATTCATGCGTTCTGGTGTTAGCAAATGTCTGGTCGACCTCGTCTTTAGCCTTCTCTCCTGTCCATACTGATTGATAATAAGGGGATCCGGTTAAAGGTGGCTTATCCGTTCTCTACCAACCTTGATTTATAGATGTTTTGGCATATTTTGAATAATTCATATTACCCCAACATTGAAAAACTCGGCGCCTCAGTGGGATTCGAACCCAAGCAGAAGGCGGAAAGCTTTGGTACAGCCAACGCTCTAACCACTTGAGCTACGAGGCCCCGCCAGACGACATAAGTCTGGTAGTCACCTGGTGGATTATAGATGAATTACTTAGGAAATCCTGCCTGGGCAGTCAACTTACCGTATCAAATTTGGTGGATTCCAGACGTTGCAGTAGGTTGGACGGGTAACTTGACCCAAATGTGATTAAACTCGCGTCGTCCGGCAGGGCCTCGTAGCTCAAGTGGTTAGGGCGTTGGCTGTACCAAAACCTTCCCCTTACTGATTGGGTTCGAATCCCACTGAGACGCCGAGGTTTTCACAGTTGGAGTAATATGAACCTTGATTTAAGTAGCAAAACGATCGCACTGGTCTGGACTCCAGAGCAGCTCTAGTTAACTGGATTTACATCTGCCCTGGGGAACAGATACGTGAACCTCGTAGCAGAATATAAACTCTTCATTGTATATTTTGGCGGTTGAATCTGCACCTAGGGATTTGACTATGCATTGCAGCACGGCGTCTGCCAGTGCTGCCCTGATTACTCAAGCCGGATGCAGTTAGACAAAAAAGCCTATTTGCAAGATGGCCCTGACGGATGAGGTGAAGAAGAAATGACGCTCAGCTATTTTTCCCTAGCCCTGCTTGCTGGGCAGACTTTAAATGTAATCAGTTGCTTTAAACAGTGTCCACTGGGACGTTATAGGCCTGCAAGTCGGTCATGCGTATGTGTACCCACCTGCTGAACTATGACACAAGGCCGCCTTTGATAAGGTAATGGTACTTATAGGGCTCTTTTAGATGAAACACGGTGTACACATGTCCCTGCCCTACCATGGTGCCTAGTTTGTTTTCTGTGAGTACGTCGGTACTTCACGTTTTTGACAAATGTCCTCGACTTGTCTAAACAGGCCGATACTTTTCGCTTCTGAATATTGCCATTTCACCAGTGTCGATATCAACCATTTCGCCTGAACAGCAGCTTATGCTGTCGAACGGGACTGGTTGCACCCCGTAAAATACCAAGCTGATATCATTATCTCACTAGTGGGTGCATTGCCAAGTTTCTTCCCATTGGTGGCGCATAAAAACACAACTCACGCGTCTTCTTCCTTACTTTACCTTTATCCTACTTTGCTTCCCTTCCGTTTTCCCGTGCAGAACTCCGATGATCGTTTGCCGGAACGCGTCTTCGCGGTTGAACCCATCCTGTGGTGCGCCCACCTCCAGTCCGTAACATCGGCTTCTGCTTGGCGTCCAGAGATCACTAGCCCGTGCACTCGATGTGATAATCGTGGTGAAAATTGGGTGTGTTTGACCTGCTATGAGGTGTGTTCACTTTCCTCTTAGACGATTTATTTTCGCTAGTTACTGTCTTGCGTAACCGGTCAGTGTCGTCGCTTGTCATACAAAATGAACCTCCAACTTCGTGTATGTAAAACTATTTGCTCCTCCACTGTGAAAGTCTACGTCTAGAGAGATTTAAAAAACCAGGCTAGGCCCGTTGATTATATTTCTAGTCACTCTCCCTCTTGTAAAGCCAATAACACAGTCAGCGACCGATCCCGTGAAATGCTAACTTAAATTCTTAAAAGCGTTTTCGATTTGGAGGGATTACTTAAGTTGGATTGTAGTACTGATTATTCTGCTGTATAATCTCATGACATTTCAGAGACGCTAGGATTTTGGCTTTTGAATGCACTTCTTTTCGGCCGCCTGCAAAAACGGCATTCGACAAAAATGACTGCTTAGGCAGCTTGCATCTTTTTTATTGATTTCCGATGTCCTTATAAATTCAAGTATATTTAATGGGAAACATGCGCAAAAATATTTTGTTCTTATACTTACTCGGTAGAAAGTCACGTTTTCTTTGAATTTTATGCTAAAAGGTGTGATACCCTCGGATCTTAAGATATATCCAACTCCCGAATAATTTGGACCCCAATATGCCGTTACGTTTGCGTTTGGGGTTTTCAGTTTGCAAGCTGTACAATTTCCGTGTAAGGAAACTCGTATATTCCGCTATACCATCTAGGAAATATGATATAGGGCTCATAGAATGGTGTAATGGATACAGACTGAGTTATATACTTCTCGAGGAACATAAATAAACGCACTGCCGCGATGCTTTTTGGATGGACATTTCGCAGTCTTAAAAAATCCCATAATTGGGAACTTTTTAAAGCCTCAGTATACCCTTTGTGTGAGTATAAAATGTGAAGAGAAAGTGATTTTTTCCCGAGCGAGTATGACAAAGAATATTGTTATGCATATTTTCTATGAAACATATTTGAATTTATAAGGACATTAGAAATCGGTAACAAAGTGCATGCTACCTAATTTGTCACATTTTACCGAGTGTGGTTTTTGCAGGCGACCGAAAGGAAGTGTACAGCGCGATGTTGGTTCCAGTTTCATTAAACAACGGTCTAGATTACAGTTGACCCCCTTTATGTCGATACAAGCGAACATTTCTAAAGACCTCTAAGACATTACTACGATAAGGGACAAATTGTTCTTAAGGGGTGGCAATAACTGTATTTTGCCAGGAGTCCTTTCGTGGATCATTTTAACCTCTTTGGCGCAGTTGTTGCTGTCTGGTAGGAAATCACTCCTGCTCGTAACGCTAGACTAACTGTATTTACTGTTATTCAAGGACAAAACCGCTCTTTCCGGTGTCTAGTCTCTGTAGGCTAACTTACGGTTTTTTGTTCAGTTCCTGTGATCATTTCAACAGGATTATGCAGTCTTTTGTATTCAAGCTCGAGTTTAACTGTTCCAACGCTGTTTCATAGTTATTCCTAAAACTCGTGCTTTGACGAGCGTCGGCTGGTATGATGCCGACGGGCTCATGGGGGATGCGGCTGCGTATTGGCCTTCTGAGGATGTAAATGAAATCCGATTGCTGTGAACCTCACTGCGGTTTACTCACTTGTCTGAGCGCTGAACCTTACATTTGACATCTAACAGTTCTAGCTGACTCCACTTCAACTGTGCACTTCCCCCTACTTAATTGTATTAAGTAGACGGGTACGTTTACGTATTAGTGACGCGTTTGGTGATAATACAGAGCGGGGCAGGATACACAGCACGTCACCGGTTTCCCTTTTATTAAACAACGGTTGAGATTACAGTTGGCCTTACATAACCCCCGCTTATGTCCGTACAAGCGAACCTCCCTAAAGATCTCTAGTAGGATAAAGGACATATTGACTTATGGGTTGGTTATAACTGTATTCTGCTTTGTTCAAATTAAGGCGTCGCACTACAGCTTTTACCTCTCGCCCTTTTGAAGGTCTACTGCGGCCGATATGCAAGAGGTCATATGTTGGAGCATTTTTCTGCTACTCGTCATCCAATTGTTCTGAGCTTCGCTGACTTGTCAGCCTGGTGCTACATCTGCAACAGTTATGTGCACAATGAGGTATGTCTTTTTTCAATATCTTATTTCACCTCCCCTCCCATCCCATCCCCATTTTGGTCATCAATAGCCGTGCAGTAAGACAAATACTTTAGATCCTGACCGAAACTGCTTTCACTTATAGTCAGTATTATCGCCCCTTCCAACTGATATGACTGGCTCTCGACTTTCTGTTGTCATGCCAAACGGCAGTATTGGCCGCCATCTTCTCATGTCTGGTGTTCAGCTAATGAGAGTTGCCAAGGCCTTGTCCAAGTAAAGTTCGCCGACCTAGTCTGATTACCGGAGGGAACACAAGGTGCCGTTTTATCCGTGACAAACTTCGCTCCTATTTGGACCTCAGATATTTTTGCTCTCACTGACGACGGCGAATCAGCCAAATTGGTCATCCCACCCCCTTTTGCCATTTTGCGCACCCATTTTAATTATCGCCTTTTTCAATTGCAGGTCCTACTGGAAGCAAAAAGAGCGGCGCACCTGGCCAAATTTGGGGAAAGAATGCCAACTTAGTTTTTTTTCTCAACACGAGACGCTGCTCCTTCTCAGGAAATCCGAGAGTGTTCTGACGATTTTGTGCTAACTCACTTCCTGTATAACTTGAAAACACCTCCGGGTATCTCTTTGAGGCTTTGCCCCCTGACCGAGATAACCGTGTGTTTCTTTTGGATTTGCTCATTTCTGGTATGACCAGTGCTCCGTTAACTGGAATTCACCGATTTTTTTAGAACGAATTACATACATTTCCCGAATGTCTGTCTTTTTCTTCTGTTGTTGTTTTGAGGTTTCCGCTTTTCGTTCTTCTGGACTGTTGGTCTCAGTTCCTATGGATAGCCTGACCTTGCACCCAGGGAGTCGGACTCTCTTGTGTTTTGCTACTAGTTTATTTTAATGCCTTATTTGTAGTGCCTTGTGGCCACTCCAAATTCATCTGTACTTCTAACTACTTTCTGTCGGCCGTCGTGGGTGTTTGGTTTCAGCTTTTCGAGTCTCGTGCTCTAGTTGGGAAGGGCGCTGGTTATTAAGCTGGCTCTTGGTTTATCAGGCCCTTTCTCACAAAGCAATAAGACCCTCCGAAAATTGACCTGACTAATTTTGGAAAATTCTAACGGGATCCGATTCAGCCGTACCTCGTACTAGGCTAACTGCCCGGGGATGCGTTACTGTTCGATCACGTTCCGTTACATTTATTCCTGGGCTCCGTGCCTTGGCCAGGTTGGAGTAAACTCGCCTTTATGAGCTGCCCGAGACTGATGCGTCTTGGCAGTTTTCTTGCCTACATTTGGTAAGAGCGAAGTTGACAAAAAATATCTGTTTTCGGGCAAATTCCGAATTTGTCTCCGATCACCAATAATAATAATAAATCCGTCTTCTTGAGACTTAGACTCGGACTATAATTTCATATGAATCTTCGGGCCGAAGTCCATCAACTACAGTGGAGTAACCGCATGATATACATAAACTACTAACGGGCAGCTAGTAGCACATAGACGGGTTGTACAATATGCCATACTGGACAGCACAGTAGTATGGCTTGGGGCTCAGAGCAGCAAGACCGTCTGTGTAATCAAACTGCTTTACCGGAGTTTGCTTCCGTTATGTGTGAATTCCATCTACTCAGCTCAGGGAAGTGAATCTGATGTTTACATGGTAATACTCAATTGACCCGCTCAAGGAGCTGTCCTGATAGGTTTTGCCATTGCAACATCGTAAAGAAGTTGGTGTATCGATCGATACACTTCTACCCAAATACTCAGAACAAGGTAGGTCTTCACTTTACTGCATGAAGCCAATTGAATGACAGTTTATGGTACTAGTTCTTCAGGTGAAAGTTTGACCATCGTTACCGAAAATGTCCAACCGTTTGGCCCACGCTAGGGTAGGTACAGGCACGGTGACTTGCTCGTGAATCGGTTTATGGTGATACTGGACTTGCACTGCATCCACAACACCCTCCTCTCCCTCACCCAACTGGACCTGGTTTCAAGACAGAGTCAAAATGCTAAAAGCGGGGATGGACACGGGTGACTTTTCGCGGCCTGAATCTCCACATAGCAACGTCACCAAACACCCTCTCCTCCACCAAGAATGGTATTAGTTATGGGTGCGCAGCCCGATAGCGGTGCCGAACCGTAATCGGATCGCCTGCGTTGGTTCAGCATCGTTGTCTGCTCTGAAAAATGGTAATGCGCGTGCAACATCGTTATCAATGTTAGTCAGTCATGGTTTACCTTATTTTGGTCGTCGGGCATACTTTTAAGGTCTTGAAGGCGGGAGACCACTCGAGGAGCCACTGCAGTTTCCAAATTTTTTGCAAACATATTTCACATTGACGAAATGCTGAAGTCTGGAATTCCGGCGCGGCCTTTTGAAGGTCCACCAAATTCCGATTCTCGCTTGGCCTGTGATGACAGAGGTTTTTGAGCTCGATTCTCTCCCAGACATTGACTTTTTGCCAGGGTGGCCTCGTGCTCTCGCAGCGCACCGATGTGCGTCCCAAACCACCTGCCAAATCTGTCTATTTAGCTAACCTCTCAAATTGTAACCGCTCCATGTCCGCCTGGGTCATGGTGTCCATGCAGAATTAGCGCACATTTTAACTCTCGAAGGCATTCGCTACAAGGGAGTGAATCCTTCCCGAACGAAGCGACTTCTTTCATTCTACGGTCAGTGACCGCAATGTTTCAGACGCGTCAGAATGTTGGCTTTTAAATGCGCTTCTTTTCGACTGTCTGCAGCGACTGCTCTCGGTAAAAGATGACTACTTAGATAGTAGGCATTCTTTTATTGACCATCGATGACCTTATAAATCCAAATATATTGTATAGAAAATATGCAGGGAAATATTCTTCCCTGTACTCATTTGGCAGGAAATCACGTCTCCTTCAAATTTTATACTCGAAGAAGGGGTATCTTTCGTTTTTAAAAAGTTTTCATTTATGAGATTTGTAAGGCTGTTCAATGCCTATTCAAATAGTATTGTATCTGTCTGTTCAATGATGCTCCTCGTGATGTATGCAGCAAAATTTTACGAGCTCTGTATGATTTAATGAAGTAGAGGGGTAAATGTTTTTCTTCACACGGAAAGTATGCAGTGAGTAGAGTAAAAATCCTAGACGCAAATGGAATGGCGGCTTGAGCTCAAAATCATTCCCGAATTGAAGAAACTCTTTTTAAACCATAAGAAACCCTTCCTTGAACATAAAATCTGAAGAAAACTTGATTTTATACAAAGCCAGTACAACAAAGAATATTGTTATGCATGTTTTTCCTTCAAAATATGCTTGAACTTATAATGGCACCGAAAATCGATGGAAAAAACATACCAAGTAAGTGATCACTTGCCGTACAGAGGGCAGCTTTTTCAGACTGCCAGCAAAAAGAGCATACAAAACCAACACCCTGGCAGGTCTGAAATGCCACAAGATCATGCCACAAGATTACATCATCGCTTAAGTAATACTATCTAACCGAATACGCATTTCGCAAATCCGACCAGCACTTCAAGAAATCGGTCGCTGGCTGTGGTTGACGTAGGATCAAAGGACGGAACTTTTCTTCCTCGGATGCCAAATCCTTTGGTGGTTGACTTTTCATGAGTAGACCTTTTAATGGCTTTATGGATGGATTGTAATGGGTCGTCCACAACGGAAAAGAGCCCAAACTGACAACACTGTTAGCCCAAGGTGCATCTGCTAGCGTTTCTGTTCGATGCTCTTGTGAGAGAAAGTTTTTTCGCTAACCTAGAACCGAAAATAGTTAGAGACATAAGCTGAAACTGTGCACTCTTCATTCTTAAGCATAAAGTCGATCTCTTCCAAAAGTGTCAGTCTTCTATCGACATTTTCAAGGCACACTGTCGACCAGAAAATTAACGCCCAGTAAACCGTGTTAATTCGGTGAAAACTGAACGAACGCCGTATCTTTTTTGACTGTCCTTGCTTTCGTTCAATGTAATTTTAAATTAAAAAAATCGGGGAGTATGGAGCACCCTCACTAAGTTCAGATGAATCGCCCGTACATAGAATTAAAGCTCCATGTCGTTTCGATATGCCCTTAACCAGTTATGAGACTTGTTCTTGTGACATCGTATTTCAGGCGTCCATGAGAGCAAACCCGAGTTGAGAAATCCGTTGCAGTTTCTGCTTTCTGGGTATTATCTGTTGAAGAGAATTGCAATCATGCTCTGCTGCACTGAGATCAGGAAGTCCTGTTGGTCATGGCAGACCTCTGATGCTATTAGAGCCCTCGAAATGTTGAGCCATGCGATATTAACGAGCCTATGCACTGTCATCCGGGAAACTCGATCCTGACAGATCTAACAACAGCGTGAGTAGGCGCAATTACACCACCACTGTATAGGAAATACGACTGACATCCACTTTCTATATAAACCAGACTGCTCTTTCCTGATATCTATACGCTTACTTAACTGTTAAAGGAGTTGTCGTCCTCTTCCGCAGTCTAAATTCCTCTTCAGTCACAAAATCATTCGCCATTCGTCCTCCGAATCCGTAGGTGTCTATCAAGTCTTTTCAGTCGAACTTCTGCTTAATCGGTTAAGGCAACTTTGTTTCATTCACGTGAACGCTGCATTTGTTGCCTAATCTAAACGAGCTTGTTTATAGTTTCCAGTCAACTACCGTACTCCTGGCGGTATTTGTCCAAAATCCGTCTCCCAGCAGGGCCGGATGCTTGATCTCCACCTCGTTGCAAAACGGTCCATGCGCTTTGGAAACAACAACGTATCGGCCCCTTGGCTTGAATATGCCTCGCATTGGACCACAGATCGTGTTGCGTCATCCAGACAGATTTTTAAAGTACTGTTATGCCTAGGTAGTATGCACAGTAGGTGGGCTAACTCACTAAATGTCAACCGAAATTCCGAAATGAGTTTTCGTTTCGGAAATATTAATTAAGTAGTGTTGTAAAACTACTCATCATGCAGTATAATTCTATAATAATTCGGTTACCTTAGGGTACCAGCTTTCGAACAAACTTCTTTCCAGCTGCATGCAAAAATCCCAACCTGTAAAAAATGTCTGCTTAATTAGCATGTATTTTTCTCCTTGATTTTCGATGCCCTTAAAAGTGCAATTATACTTCATGGAAAGCATGCATAAAAATATTTATTCTATTGAGCATTCGCTAGAAAATTACGTCTTCTTCCAATTTTATACTCGAAGGAGGGGGATAATTCGGTTTTAACAAAGTTTTTAATTGTGAGACTATTTAACACCGTGAAATGCCCGTTCGGAAAATTTCATGTGTCTTCATATACCAATGTGGCTTCTAAAGTTAACAATATGGCTCAAATTCACTGCTACATTTTATAAATTCCATAGTCTTCTCTTCATATCTTAGAGAAATGTATGGTTTTCCGTACGCGGAAAATATATGATTTGTAGTTTGGAAACCCTGAATGCAAGTGAATGACAGATCGCGTTCAAAATTATTCGGGAGTTGGAAAAGTTGATGAAAACCGAATTATACTCTTCCTTCGAGGCGTTATT